ATTTGAAATGAATCTCTACAATTTTGAAAATATGCGAAGTTCACATGCATGAGCCCATTAAGGTAAGATGTGAATCATACAATAAGTATCCAATAAATTTGATAGATGCATCTATATATAATATGGTTACACATGTGATTAGTACAAATTTGCAACCTGAAAATTGCAAGATATTGTTTGAATAAAACTTTATATTAAGCGCACAAGTTATAGAGATTGTGATTCAAACATTTTTTTTTTTATAGAAAATTCTAGTGAATTTATGTCTCAGGATTTCAATGATTATAATATACTTATAAAAAAAAGTTGAAAAGCCTATTTTGCAAGATGATATTAGGGGAGAGCATCGATTAATTTGGTTCGGTTTGGTTGTGATTAAAGAAAACCGACAAACTGAAATTTAACATTTTTTTGAACTGAACCGAATTGAAGTTTTGAAAAAACCGAACTAAAATCGAACTGAATTTTAATAGTTTGGTTCGGTTATTTATTTCGGTTATTGGGCCTTTTTGTCAACACATTGGGCCTTTTTTGTCAACAAATTGGGCTTGTTTCCAAAAAAGAATATCATACTAATTAAGAAATAATTTAAAACACCAGATGCCTCTAACTAAAGTGAACAAAAAATGATCTGGACTGGTTTGAAATCTTAATTCTTGAAACCTCAAACAATTATAACATTAACATGACAAATATAAATAGTGAGGAAAACAAAAGAGATCCCCAAAAACAATAATGAGGACACTGGACAACATAGAAAAATATATCAAAATAAAGGAATCAAATATAATACTAGTATTTCTAAAAAATATTAATAAAAATAAAAACAATCCTTAATAATATAAATCAATTATAATATTTATAAATATATATAATTAATTTCAATTAATTCAGTTTATTCAGTTTTGCAATCTTCAAATGAACCAAACCATTTAAATTGAAATTTTTGTAAGAAAAAACCCAATCGACCATTTAAACTGAATAAACTGAATCAAATAGATCAAACTTAATTTGGTTCGATTTGGTTTTGCTCACCCCTAAATGATATGGCAAAACTATTTATTCAAGCCTCCATAAAATTCTATATCACTGCTTACGAGAACAAAATTTCTATAGTATTAACATATTTGAACTTACATATTACAACACTTATAAAAAATTAGGCCAACAAAATTTTCCCATTAAAATTAACTTTTGATTAGGAGCCAAATATTTCTCAAATTTAAATGTGCAATGTTTTTCCTTATTATTACACCATGCTGAACATAGATAGATATTTGAAGAAAGTTGAGAATAAATATTGGGTGCAAACTCCTTGTTCTTGTTTGTTTCTAAATGAAACAAAGAAATATTTTCTAAGTGAAACAAATGGAATTAGGAGACTTATATTAGATGGCAAGTTGATTATTAATTGACTAAGTTTTCTCAACATGAGAAGAGAAAAATACTTTGCTTGAAGAGAAAATATATGAAATGTATTATCATTATCTTATTTAGATCTTCTCAAATAATAATATGAACTAAAAGTTTATTAAATACATTTATAAAATATTGCAAAACATTTGTTAGATGAAATTATTAACTTAAATGAGAATTGTTAAAAATTTTATATTCCAGCTAAAATGCTGAAATGATTATAAAAGAAAATAAGACATGCCTAAAGCTGAGAAATTAATCTATTCCAAATATAAATATCTTAAAAAATAGAAGCATATAGTTAAAATGATCATACTTAGGAGGTGAACACCAAAAGAGGTTCAAGCACCTAAAAGCAATAGAGAGATTTTAAAAAATTTATGTTACAATTGGAATAATGGAATCAAAAACTTAAAGTTGTTGACAATAATTTTAGTGATAATGTCACGTGATCAAATGAGGATCATATTACACAAATATGTCATGGTAAGTGGATAGAAAAATAAAGTGACACAATTTGAGTAGAATTATATTCATTTTGAATGTATGAAAATTAAAGACATATAGTCCAAACAACTAAAATGTAAAGTTATTATGAGATATATGGACATTTATTTGAAAGTAAGGATTTTCACAAAAGTCTAACGATGATTGTGATCTAGTATATTATCTGGTGGTGAATTTTTGTAAATATCAATATTTTGGCAGTATATGAAATTAAAATAATGCGTCTATTAGATATTATTTTAGCATATCGATGTAACTAACAAAACAATAAAATTTATATGAGAATCCTTGAAGGATAAAAAAATGTAAGAAGCATGACCAAAACAATTATTTATCTTGTGAATTTATATAACTTGAGTCTATATAATTAACTTAGCAGATATGCATTCAAAAATTTGTATAGTTTTACATTTTATTTGACTCATAAATTGAATTATTAAATATTGCAATGATTTCAAATCACTAGAAATTTTTAATGATAATTTTGTCTACGAAATATGTTAAATTTAATGATCTATAAGTACTATATATTTATTCTATAATAATATTTACATATTTTACTGACATTGCATTTGCTATAAATTTGTAAACAAAATTAAGTTTATGGAGGTATATCAATGGATATTGAAATGTAAGTTTTGTGTAATTGTATGAAACCATTATATGAGATCATTTTATTTAGTAAACAAATTGAAAATGCAGATACAAGATATATCATGATGTTTTTCATAATAACTTTTTTTTTGTAATATCTACAGTGCATAAGACAAATAGAGTATATATTGATAATTTATTATATCTAGAAAATATGTTAGAAGAATATGTATGATGAAAATGCATCATACATAACTTGGGCAAAAAAATTATTTGCATGGAAAAGTATTTGCAACAATTACATTTGAGAAATTAATATTCTCTATTGAGATGCAATAACAAGAAGTGATATTATTATCAACATAAGTTAAATTGATGTCTGCATGAAGGGGAGTAAAGTTTATGTTGTATTCTTTTTTCTCTTAACCAAGATTTTGTATTATTGAATTTTCTTGATAAGATTTTTAATGAAGCAGTTTCAATATATATTGCTTTTATTAGTTTTTTTTCTTATTGAGTTTTTTTTATAAGGTTTTAATAAGATACAATATTTGTTTATGAACTTTTATAAATGTTATATTATATGAATGTTTATAAATCCCCCAACTCTTGGTCTTTCATATTCCACATTCCCTAACATTTCCAATGAATGAATGATTTTAGGAGTTTTTCTCATATTTATTACCCATAAACTCAAGGGTGACATGTCATATATTTAGGTGAATTGATCTTGTAATTTATATCTATTGTAACTCTTAGATAGAGTTGGAATCTATAAATAGAGATTATGTATCACACATTTGAGCGGCCAAAATCAATGAATATTACTCCTCCTTTATTCTTCAATTCTCTCTTGTGTTTTTCACTTTTCCCATCTCAGTCTCTTATATTTTTCTTATTTTTATAATATTTTTATATTTTAACCTTTTTATTATTATACACGCTATACTCTTATTAGTTATTAGTTATTAGAGAATGTCCATGCCAAGTGTCAATGTTATTTTTTTTAATTTTATATAGGTATTTTTTTTTGGAAAATAATTATATTTGAGATAAGATTGTGTATTAAATATCCATCTTAATGAGGGTTCGAATCTTAATTTATGTTAGGGAAAACTAGTCGCTTCTCTTAGATTGGACGAATAAATATTTGGTCATTGGTGTCAATGTTATTATAATTTTTTTTTTGACAGAATTGGTGTTAATGGTTTGTTTTTTTGGTAAAGGTGTCAAGCCCATTATCGTTATGCAAGAGTGACCCAATTGAGGTTTGACCAAGCTAGTTCTTTGGTCCACATTACTGGTGTGAATACAAGGGTTATATTTTTGTACTTAAAATATAAGTGGTAGTCATAAATATTTATTTTTTTCCAAAAGCAGTTATAGAATTTTATTATCGTAGAAAATGTGCATAGCATATCATGTGCAAAAAAATTTTATTTTAAGTTTACTTGATATTTACTTTTTTAAAACGCACAAAATGATAAATAGTGGCTTGACAGAGGAAAATTGATTCCAACCTAGAATTCTCGTATTAAAAGTGGATTATTTAAATTAAAATTGAACGATTCAAATTTAGTATTATTTTATTTTTCACATATATTATTTTAACATATACAAAATTCAAATAAAAATATTTTATGAATGTCTCTCTGTTTTTTTTTAAAAAAACAAGTTTATCATTTAAAAATTTTAAATTTTAAACTGATTTAAGCAATTCAAATGCCATCTCATAAGTTCACAACAAGTTAACAACAGTACAATGATCATTGAATCATCATCATCAGCATAAAAGAATTTCGTGCAGTAAAATCAAGAAAGCGAAAACTCACATGTGACTTGAATTCTCACCCACTTCTCTTCTTGTCCGCCTCCTTCTTGCTTCGCATCTCAATTATTATATTAAAATTTGAATGATTTAGATTTAATGTTTTAGAAAATGATTAATAAAATGTTAAAAATGATCAAAAAAATAAAAAAATAAATTCAAATTGCAAAAATTGGGTCAGGATAGTTTAGAACTGCAGTTAAACAAAAATTTAAAACATTAATTCTGGACATATATATATATATATGGGAAGGGGAATCCCAGCCGATGTCACATCTCCATGAATGTACTTGTAATTGCTGCAAGTAGTTCATAAAGGATCAAAGCTGGATCACAATATAACATGATACAACAGTTCATCTTGGGACATATTTAGTTTTTTTGACCAAAGGGTACACATACATAAATACATATATAGTACATAAGAAATCCATGGCATCGATGGAGACATGGAAGATATATGCAGCATTGTATTTTGTACATTCTCGTCAGGCACGAGTAAATGAGAATGCGATTGTTGATCGTAGTTTATAGGAGGGAAAAATCCTCTAAAATTGAGACTACAAATTTTTGTAAAGTTTTCTTTTATTGATATTTTCTTTCATTTTATTATTTTTTTGTAAAATTTGAATTTTTTCCTCTTTTTTTTTTTAAAAAAAGACAAACTTCATGAAATTCATGTCTCTCAACTTCAGATAATTATCTGTTCCCAATAAAAGGAACTCAAACAAAGACTACTGGTCACAACATAACAATCTGATACAACAGCACGTTCACTAGGGGTACATGTATACTAGAGATAGTAGAAATTCATGGCTTCCAGTGCGATGGAGACATGAAATTCATCAGGCACGAGAAAATGCAGCTGTGAGAAGCATTGCGACGACGAAAACATAAAACGGAATTGGAGAAGCCGAGATGTAGATATTAATGACTGTGGCTGAAATGACGAGGAAGAAGATCTGGATGCGAGTGAACCGTTCACTGGATCGACCCATTATGAAGATGGATGACATAAAGATTACGAAATTGAATATTTTCAGCAAGGGAATCCAAATGGACAAGGATCCTTGTTCGTTCAAAGTATAGTTTGAGAGTGTCAAGTGCAAAAGAAACGTCAAAATAGTTGACCATGACGAGCCTCTTTGCAGGATTGCCCTTATCCTTTTCCTTGACAACACTGAAATTTTCTCTCGTTTCTGCATTATGAAAGCAAAACTTCTCTTTTATTAGGGGGAAAAAGACGGTTATCGGCAAGAATGAATTAAATGCCATCCTAGACCAGCTTCATCCTCTTCATTTTGGCGAGAAATTCAAGAAAAAAGTCAGCAAAGATCAGATAATAACATTAACCTACGAAAATCAAACAAAACCAACGGACAATAAAAGACGAAAAAATGTGGCAAATAGCGACGAGTAAACCGTCTAGGAAGACAGACGTCGGAGAACGAAGAGGATTGCTTGCCTCGATCACTACCTCAAGTAGAGATTCATCTTGATGATCGACTGGTTTATCTTGCACCATTTTACCCAAAAATTGAAGCCTGTGAGGTGCAGTGTTTTGCGTTAAGATTAGTCTTTTTCAGGTTATAAGAATTGCTGAATGGAAGGTTTATTATGAAGCAAAAAAAAAAAAAAAAATGAAGGCTTACAATGTGCGGGCCTTCCCAAAGTCTGAAGTCATTTGTCGGGATACTTCAATTCGCATTTCGATTGGTGTGTCCTTGCATTGTTCTAGTTGTTTCACTGCATGAGAAACTGCAAAATCACAATCTAACAACTCAATCTGTTATAAAAAACTATGACAGATCAACTTCAATATCAATATATCAACATAGAGTATAAAATTCATAACAGGTATCAGTAAATGTGATTAGGAGATGATGCAGAAGTTAAAGCTTCAAGACTTACTCTCTTCTTCGCGGTTATCTCTTACAGATGAAAGGTCTGGGGATATTGCTTTCTCAATAAACTCTTCTTCAACGAGAGGTAGCAATCTTTCTTCCTAGTCGGAAAAAAAGTTTCCACAAATTAACAAGCTAAAATATTTCATGACAATCATACTGCTTGTTATTTATTTCCCCAAAAGATAAATCGAGATGGAACATTGATATACTTCATCCCGAATTAAAAAAAAAAAATGGACAACTATCTGAAAAAACAAAAAATGGACAAGATGTCCCGAAAAAGGTCATGCTGAAATGTGAATGGACAAAATGGCCTGAAAGGTGGAGAGAAATGCCAAATTCAAGCAAATTACTAAAGGATATATATATAGCCTTGGTATAACCGGAAGGAAGCCATGAAATGAAAATAACTAACATCTATAACATGATAATCTGTACCGGCCAGGTACCTAATTGATTTCCAACTAAGAAAGCAAAAGAAACCCAAAGGCAGAGAAATTAAACTGACAAGGGAAGACGATTATTACTTGTTCCCTGTAAAAATGATGTAACCCGTACATGGATCAGAAGGGACTGTCCCAATTCATCCTTATCAACTTAACCGCATCCATGGCTTGCTGATACAGATTGCCAGCTCCTAATGATGGCAGCGCATTTGAATTCCTGTCTTGGGCGATATGGAGAGTAAAGAGATGGGAAAATGTCTAATTATTTTTTTTCCCCACCTTACCAATAGAATAGAATAATGCCTGCCGAAAACCTAGTCAAAACCGCGTATTAGCTAAGATAAATCGGTGCATGCTTCTATATTTTTTAATAGCCCATTGGGAAGCTTCTACTGGTTGCTTCTCAGTGTTAATACAGTGTCAGTGGAAAAATAATCTCTGATAAACAGCCAATTGGTGAAGGTACTATATGCTTCTCAGATTAAATAATGAGCAACGTGGTACGTCGCACCCGATTACTGGCTACTGCATTACGCAAGAGTTTGGAATTTGGTGGCCACCCCACCTGGACTGGGTTATTTTTCCACGGACCAATTTAAATTTCTATTAAATAGTAATGCTGCTGATCTATGCATCATTTATCATCATAAAATATTATGAGACGCTACGCGGTGTTGGACCAATCCTTCTAAACCAAATTATATCTCACAGTTTTGAGACAATTGATCAAGGAAATTCATAGACAGAGACATACTCACATCCATGGAGTTTGCTGGGGAAAATTCCTCCGGTGAACTCACCCTACCTGAGCAGACACAGGAGCCGCCATTGACATTTGCTGGAGTACAGGTATGGCACCACACCTTCCTTCCTTTGATCTATCGTTACTCATCCCGCCACTTTTCAACGGAGCTAGGTTCTGATGCAGGAGTACTACTACAAGGGTTTTTATCCAATTTTCAAGGTATAAGTCACCGCCTTTTCCTACTTTGTATATCTAACAAATTAACTCACGGATTATATGCTGATGTTTAAACACAATACCACTACAAAACTCAAGACATTACAACATCTTTATTCATCTTTCTAAATTCAAACTCTAGCAATCAACCACCATTCTAAATATGTGAGTTATTACTCAAGTAACCACCAATACTAGCATGCACACGTCTTTGTATGTATCATCAATTCAATGATTTAAATTGAAACAATCATACCAAAAAAAAAATTGAAAAAATCACTTGTGATATTACTACTTACATTTGTACATGATGGTGAATAATACTCAGAAAGCGGCACATTACGCGAGCAGTTCAACCGACCCCGCATTCACAGCTTATCCGGTAAGGCAACATCAAGAACTTTGTTGTTTCTTTTTTGGTTTTTTGTTTTTCGTTTTATTTTGGAATGACCCTTTGCTTCATGAACTCGAAACTGTAAATGGTAAATTTGCATTACGCAGTTTCTAGAACCTATATTGCACAGATACTGATATACATATTGGATATAATACCTATCCGATATATCGATACTTTTATTTTTAAAAATATAAAATACGATCCGTGCAAATATATTTATCAAAATCATAAAAATATTAAAAATATAATTTTAATTTAGAAAACATCCAACCTAGCATATATATATATATATATATATATAGTTCTTTATAGTATTATCAATCAAAACATAATCATTAATTATATTTTTATTTTATTTCTACTTAATTGCTTGCCACCTAATCTCTACTGATACTTTCATGCTTAGAGTTTATATGCCAAAAAATTATATTCCTACTTTTTTATAACTAAAAATATAATTTTTATCCTTTCATTATGTCTAAAAATTTTTTTAAGAAAAATCTAATCTTTTACTTTAAAAGAAAATTACAAAAATATATTAGAAAAAAAAATTAATATCACAATATTTAATAAAATTTAATTTCTTAAAAATAACTTTAAAGTATTGGCTTTAAAGTGTCAAGTCACAATTTAAAAATATTGAATATGTATCAAAAATTTAAAAAATTATATTACTATATTCTATGGTTTGAAGAAGTCTCCGATATTGATATCGATATGTGTGGGAATTTGAAATATAAGTGCTTTATAGTTTAGAATTTATGGGTATCCCTAGCATTTCAATTTGAACCAGCAAGAACAAGGAAACAACCCGAAGTTAGCTATGAGGCAGGGCGTCGCCTTTTGCCCCTTGATCAATCGTTAATATTCAAGTATTAATATAATTATTTCTGGATAATTTTATGTTATTTTTTAATCAAGTAAATGATCAAAATAAACTTTTGTTAATAACATATAAGAACAAAGTTGCACAGTACCATTTTCAATTATTAAATAGAGGGGAGAGGAAACATTTTAAGGAAGGGGACGAGAGGGATTTTAATAATATCTTGTTTGGTTCCAAGAGGGGAGGGGATGTAAACTAACAATAAACTGACCATTATATTTATGTTAAATTTAAATATAATTGTTTTTTTAATGAAAACAGTTATATTAAAATTTATCAATTACAATTTTAAAAATGTCTAAAGTTTCAGCTGAGAAATATTAGACTTTCACCTTTCTATTATACAAATTTTATTATTTATTATAATAATGTTATTATTAGTTTATTTCTTTAAGAAAAAATTATTTGGTATCATAACTAGCTTGGATCTTAGTATATTAATTTAAATTGAAGATATATTTATGAAGCCATATTAAGTAATGAGTTTCTTTAAAACTTGACTATATATATATATATATATTTGTGAGATATACAGATTTTTTTTTGAAAGCAGAGATATGCGGAATTGAAGGCCAATGTTCTTGACCTCTTGAGGCCAGCTGTAAAAAACAGTCACTATTTATTCAGTGTTTCGTTCCTACTGTTCTAGAACTGAGATTTCCTTTTTTAAAAAAAAAAATAATAAGAAATAGATTTGATGAATGACCATAGAACAAAACAAGAAATCTGGAAAAACTACAAAGAGAGTATATAATAAAACTCGAGGTATGGCACCATGCACCTTTCAACCACCACTTTTCAACCGAGCTTGGTTTATACCACAGGATCTGCTGATAAAGAAACAAGTAGAAAGGGCACTAGCTGCATCCTACGCATTGCAGGCATAAGTCCCCACCTTTTCCTATTTTGCATATCAAACAAATTAATTCTTGGATTATATGCTCGTGTTTAAACATAATATCATTGCAAAACATAAGACATTGCAGCACCTTCATTCATCACTAGTGCTGCTTTCTGGATTAAATCTCAAGCAATAAATCAACCATTCTAATTATATGCAAGTTATTACTTAATACAAGCATGCATGCATGTCTTTGTATACATCACTTAATAACTTTAGGATTATGTTTCAATGATCTAAATTGAAACAATCATATTATAAATGCAAAAATCACTTATGTGATATTACTATGTGCATTTGTGCATGATACTGAATTATACTCAAAAATGCAAAAAACTATATTGACAAGAACCTGCTGTTCAATAGTGCATGTTATCACCGAGAAAACAATATCCAATCGGTCAATCCACTCCCCAAGTCTATTTCTATGGAACCGTTGAAGTGGGGAGGATTCAATATCTCATGAACTTCTTGAGTGCAAGATCAATTGAGCTTTCTTGCTCTTTCTCCCTAAACCTCATTGTACGTGCTAGCCTCTTTAGTACACTCTCCTAATAGTACTTATCATCCTCTTTAGTACACTCTCCTAATAGTACTTATCATCCTCACGCCCATGCATTTCCTTTGGCATCTCCTTATGCTTTTCTTCTCATGGTTTCCTCTTGTCTTCTCAACAGTTTTACTACACTCCTCGTCGGGCTTCTTGACGAGGATTCTATTATGCTCATCTAATCTTCTCTCAATTCTCTTCATCATTGCCCTTAATTCAAGCAGTACATCATCATTGCCTATATAAGGTATTGGTTGTTTTCCACGAACTAGTTCTCAAAACTAAAACTCTTTAAACCCCTTCTTCTCTACTGAGATTGAAAATGAAGGCAAAAAGATTGAAGAGATTAATGCTTTACGAGCTTCATAAGTATAAAAATAAACAGTGTTGGATGGTTCTTTTTTTATAATAAAGGTTACCTAATGCTTCTTTGAAAATTGTTCATGGCTAAATTTATACTTTTACCATGCTAACGTGTCATTGTGAGCCCCACATAATGTCCTTTAGTTGAAATTAACGGTGGGCTACTAGATGCTCCATATTTTAAAGTTTGTTATTTATTTTGCACCATCTAATAGTTTAAGCTACCATATGCTCTTCAAAAAATAGTATATGGCCAAATTTACACCTTTACCTTTTAAATATTACATATAAAGTTGCACTATGACTTATAAATAGAATCAAATGGATATTCTAAAATGTACATTATAAATGGGAGTGGAGGGAGTATGTAACATCCCAATATAAATTTTAATAGTTAATTTGGGTTAATAGAAAATTTAAAAAAAAATAATTTTAAAAAAAATAAAAAAAATAATAATAAAATAATATTATTAAATTATTATTATAATAATAAAAAAAAGGTGTGAAAACAAGAAAGAAAGGAAGAAGAAGAAGAAAACGAATTTGCTTCGTCCGCCGCCTCAACAGTAACAATAATAAAATAATAATAAAAAAAAGAAGAAGAAGAGAGAGAAAATAATTTAAAAAAATGTGGGACCCACTGAATTTTTATAAAAACTCACCTTCCTTCATTTCCTCATTCATTCCTGCGCGCGAGCTGAGGCGGAGAGAACGCGAGTCACCGGTGCGAAATATCTAAATTTTTAAGGTAAGAGTTTTTAATAGGATATTTAGGGTGTGATTTTAAGCTTTTCAAGACTAAGCAAGTGTTCTAAAAATTTTTCTTAGTCATCTTTCTTCTTTAGTTTCTGAGTTTGTAGTGGTAGAAAATTTAAGATCTGGAAGAGGGATGAATTTATGTTGAATAAATATGGTTTTTGAGGTTGTCAGTAGTATAATAAATGTTATAGAGTATAAATTTGTTAATGATCTTTGAATTTATGGCTTATGGATCAAATTCTAAACTAGATCTGAAAATATATGTTGATTTATTGAGGTTTAAATGATTATTTGGGATGAGAAATGAATTATTATGGTTATAGGATTATGATTCTAAGTTAGAGACTTAATTTTTAATTTTTGGGTATTTTAGGTACGAATTTATAAAATAAAAAGAAAATTTTGATAATAGAAATTAGTTTAAAATTTGATTTTTAGATTATCAATGTTTATTGATAATTAAAAGAGGAGTTAAAAATTATACTTAATAGTATTAACTATAGATTTGTATTAAGATTGAGATTAGGAATTATGTTATATTTTTAATTCTATTATTAGAATTATTTTATTAGTTTCAAAAATTGAAACTAATATTTATAAATAATATGTTATTTGTAGATTGTATTACTGGTGAAGATTGTGGTGAGAGAGAAATTTTAAGGAATAATTTATTGAAAAAGCCACAAGGTAACCATGCTTTTAATTTGTGATTAGTGTTATTTCATGTTAATTGGGTGATTATTGAGAAAATTATGAATTTTGTAATATTGTATAATTGTGCAATATTATTATGAATTTGTTTAATTATTGTGGGAGGTGTTGGGAGACTTGCTATTGTTGTTGTATTTATGTGCCACGTGGTACGCCCCTATTGGAGCTCAATAGGTGGTTTGTAAGGGCTCGGGCTAATCTACCTTTGGCCGGGTAATTTAGTACCGAGTGAGGGCTACGGCTCGAGGTTAATGGAGGGATATAAGGATGGTTGTTTGTGTTTATTATAATATTTCTTATATTTGTTGGAATTATATTATTTTTAATTCTCACTTAGTAAGCACACACTTAACTGTTTGTATACACTATCATAAATTGGCTTTGGTTACTGGGACTTTTGAGTCTCATTATGTGGTTAACAATTTTCAGGAGAAGAGCCACGAGTGACACGTGGAGGAGTCCCAGAGGCTTAGTGGTATAGATCCACTGTCTCTTTTGGGTATTTAATTTATGATTTATAATGTGTTATATTGCCAATATTAGGGCTTTTTGTTTATTGTCAATTATATGAATATATAAATGTAATCATGCCTTTCAAACTATTTCTATTTTTAGTACAATTTGGATGACTGTAATTTTAATATTTGGTTTACTTTGGATTGGTTAAAATGGCATGATTATAAGGCCAAATAACTGGTTTGTGTTGAAAATTTATTAAATTGCTTATTTTACTTGTTGGGAGTATAAGGATGGACTAATGTGATTTAGTTTACTTGTTGGGAGTATAAGGATGGACAAATGTGATTTAGCCTAATGGCATGTGGGAGGTAAAAATTTATCTGAAATGTTATAGTGTGTGAGTTGAAGCCAGTTATAAAATATTTTATATCGAAATTATTGATATAAAAATGTGTTGGGTGGCTGTAACCCAACTATGGTTGAGTTAAATTATTAAAAAAAAAAATTTTGGTGTGTTACAAATTTTGGTATCAGAGCTACATGTTTCAAATTCTTATAAATTATGAAATTGTTATACATTAACCTAGTTTATTGGCAATATACATTATTAAATCATAATGCTTCTCCATTATTTTTCTTGTCTTGAGATTAGTGTTAACTTAATCATGTGACTTCCATCCTTTAGGAGGGGAGAGATGGTGTCTAAAACTAGGAGAGGTGGCGAAATTGCTGGTGATTCTATAGAGCCAATAGGAAATGACATACCTTCACTGCCACAACCGGAGCCCACAGCAACAAATTGGGCAGGGCGAGCCCATACAGTCACAACTAAGGCAGGATGAGCCAACTATGAGGCAAATGATGGATCTACTATATAATCTTAGTGACCGTATGAAGAGACAAGAAGAAGAGTTGGCCGCTTTAAGACAATATAAGGAGAATGACAACCGAGAGGGAAATGGCCAACAAGAAGGAAGCCATACCAAGGTATTCAATGCGAGCCAATCTGCTGATGAAGGCTTACCTCCTTATTCTCACCATGAGACTAGTCCGAAGAATGTGAGTCTCCACTCTGAGCAACAGACATCCACGATCACAAAGATTTGGAGTACTTTTCGTAAGTTTAATCCTCCTACTTTCGATGGAAATCTTAAGCCAGCGGTGGTTGAAGAATGGATAGATCAATTGGAGAGTATTTTTCGTATGGTTGTGTGCACTTCTAATCAAAAGGTGCAGCTGGCAATATTCCTACTACAGAAGAGTGCTAAGAAATGGTGGGAAACATCAGGACCGAAGGATGATTCCTCTCTTACTTGGGAAGATTTTAAAGCTATATTGTTCGAGAATTATTTTCCTACTGCACTGAGAGCAGAAAAGGAGGCTGAGTTTCATGCATTTCGTCAGGGTGATCTAGATGAGGATGAATTTATTGAACAATTCTCAGAATTATCTAAATACTCCACTTACCTCCAAAAACATGAAGATACGGAGTGGATGGCTGAACGATTACTAGAGAAGGCGAGGCCTGATCTAAGGGAACAGTTAGCCCCTTTTGAGATCAAGACATTCAGTGAAATGTGCAATAAGCTTCGAATAGTTTCTCGGAGGAAGAGAGAGGCTAGATTAGAAGCTGATAGAGAGAGGAGGAAAGAACCTCATGGGAAGCCCCCTATCCACACCAGACCCATTGGTGGAGTAGAGAAGAGGAGCAGTCAAATCTTTGGAGGCTTTAGAAATCAGAAGAAGAAGGGCTACTATCATAAGGGCCAGACCTACAGAGGGAATCAGAGTGGAAGTCAAGGGTCCTATAGGAGCCCAGCTACCTTTAATCCTACTCCTAGTGCTGCTAGTAATCAAGCATGCAGTAAGTGTGGGAAGTTTCATTCTGGTGATTGTTGGGTTTGTTACATCTGTCAGAAGCCTGGTCATATTGCTCGATTCTGCTATCAAAATCAGAATAGGGGTAATGATCAGAGACCTACAGTACCAGCACGAGTGTATGCCCTCTCTGGGCCAGAGGCTGCTAACAACCCTAATGCTATCCGAGGTATAATCCGAATCCTTGATAATGATGTTTGTGCTTTGTTTGATTCGGGTGCTACACACTCTTTTGTGTCTGATGAATGTATGAAAAGATG